CCTCTAAGATATACCTATTTAAGTTAGGCCTTGCGGGTATGAACCCCGGTGGCTAGGGTTAAAACGTACGTACGGGATCCAAGAACCAAACTTGAGTACCTACTCGTTTGGGGGTACCACCCACCCAACAGTGAACACTACGCTGTCGGTTTTTGGTTGGCCTTAAGTGAAGGTAAGTTTAAGATTTTCAAAACCCTTTTATCTTAAACTAGGCCTAGCTTAAGCATTATTTAGGAGTACTTTATATTGGAATATAGTTTAATAATTTAAACTAGAATTCATTTAAGGGTTGACAAATATTAAAGTGATTTGCCTTAGACTAAGTATAGTATAAGGATATGGTTGAATATTGAATATGAATAAATATTGAATTTAATATTGTGGTTATTATGAATGACGGATAAAATGTGAAAATAATATAATGAATGTTGAGTATTGACTTATGATTATTGAGTACCTGAACTGAACATTATGTGCATGATATCAAATGGGTTTGATTATGAATTTAGATTCAGTTTATATGGATGTTCGACGCATTAGATATGCTTACTCAGCTTAAACGCTGAGCGTGTAGTATGTTTTATTTGCTACACGCAGATAAACAAAATGAATGAAGAAATGATTTCCTGGAGGCAGATGGCACGAGAAGGTCGGACGGATGTGTGTTTTGCATTTAAATTACTGTTGAAAAGACATAAATTAGTTATGTTTGTATTATGTTTATTTAAGCTTCCGTAACATTAAATTACTCCGTTACTATTTTGAATTATTCATTATGAAATAAAGTTTTAAATATTTGAAATATTTTGAATGTTTACGAATACCAAGTTTATACTTTAGTCCTAAAAGGGCTGCAGACCTGGACGGATTAGGGTGTTACAAAGACTGATATAAAAGTTTTTAAGTAAAATATGAAATGTTTTTAAAAGTATTAATTTATTCTTTTTTATGAGAATTTGTTTAGCAAAAATGACTAATCTAATATAACTAAAAATAAGTTAAAAAAAGAAATTTAGTAAATTTTCAAATCAATTCTCAATAAGCAATAATTACATACGCATTCTTATCTAATTTAATATTTTCCAAAATGGTCTTTTCTTATCACATGAGTGATTTTAACTCTAAATGCAGTTGTATAGATTCAGATACATTTTATTTTTCTATATCAATATTTGTTTAGATTATTCAAGTTCATGGATTATTCTAACATCAATAATCGATTAGAGCATGTGCAATGGCAAGGAAGAGGCATGCCATGCACTGCCATATCAGCTTCTTCCACACATATCATGGCATGGCAAGGCTAAAATGCTTTTCTTTGTGAGGCATGAGTGTGGCACTCCATCCTTCTTTTTTTATTTTTTTTAAATAATTTTTTTTAAAATTTTTTATGAAAAAATGTACAAAAACGTAGAATAATTTTTTAATAAAAAATAATAAAAATATTTTTTTATGTTTAAAAAACATAAAAATTGTAAAAAAGTGATAAAAAATAATGACTTGACATTGTAGAACTTGCCACTCCATTCACTTGCCACACGCTGACTGGACTATTTTTGATTGGTTAAAATGTTTCACAATTATTAATGAAATTATTAAAATTATAAAACACAAAAAAATATCATGACTTCAAACAAAAGAGTTTAAAAACACGTGGATAAAATAGATTCAATTAGTTAAAAAATAAAATAAATTTATTCTCCAAAAATAAAAAATCTATATTCACATTTGATATGTTTCACAAAAATAACTTATTTTCTTAAAAATTAAAAAAATCACATTTATTTTACAACTGAACTTTACTAGAATTGTCAAATGATTTTATTTTAAAAATGTAAAAGATGAATTATAATTACAATTTTTTCACATAAACATTTATAGCTAAATTCAGATTGTATGACTTAGATATCCTTTATATATAAAAATAAGATTTAAATCTCTAGAAAGTCGACATGTTGTATATATTGTTTATGTAGCATTTTTTGAAACTTAATATGCCAAACAATTTGTGATGTGGAAAATAATAAAGTAATAGTTTGGTTTGAAATCAATGAGTAAATGTATTATGGAAAAAATATCTTCATTTATATGATAATATTCTTTCATAATTTATATTTTTTTCTCTTCATTTATAACAAAATTTAAAAATAATAAATTAGATACTCTCTTCACCTCTTAATAAATTTCATATATTTTTTATGAGATGTTTAAATGAAGTTAGTTTTGATTTTATTATTTAAATATTGATGTAAAATTTAAAAATTAAAATATTTTTAAAATAATAATAAAATTTAACTCGCTCTGTCTCAAAATAATTTACCTCTTTATTATTGCAGCGTCTCAAAAATGGTTCTATTGCAATATAATATAATGTGACATTGTATATTGACATTTCATTGTCATTTTATATTATATGTTGGTCATATTGATATTATAGTTCTTATTTTGCAGATAAAATATAAAGATTCTATTTTAGTTATTTTCTTACATTTTATTTCTATTTTAATATTTCTCTTTTTCCCTTCAGAATCATTGTAGTACTACTTTTTTATTAATATTTTTTTTCCAAAATTGATGCGGGGGAGAAGAATTGTTGTATTTTAATTTTTTTTAAATGAATATTTTTAATAGTAGAGTAATAGAATCGCTAATCTAATATTATATTTTTAAATAATGTAGTAGATATAAATCAATTTTTGTATTCAATGCGGGGGTGAGGGAATCGTTTTTTACTAATCTCAATTAATGTGGGGGAGAAAAGTTTTGTTTTTTAATTGTAAAATCATATGTTCGGTAATTCAAGCTTTTTAAAATTTATGTTGGGAAAAAGATTCATAGAATCACTACTGTTTTTTGTATTTTTTTAATTTATACGGGAATAAAAATTATAGTTTTTTATAAATTCAATAAACCTAGATCATTTATATTTGATGTCTAAATGATATGTCTCATAAAAAACAAAGTCATTTTAATATTCTACATTGTCGAATCACAAACAACTTTGTACCATCCCGTGCATGACACGGGTTAAAATACTAGTAACTTTCATACACGTGTGTACACATAAAGGAAATATTTTACTTACTCATATACTCCCTCCGTCTCGATTTTGGTTACAAATTGCGGGTTACAAGGAATTTTTTTTTCACTTTTTGAAATGATTTTAGTTACAAATTAAAAAATTACGTAAAAAATTCTACAAATCAAATCTTAATTAATCAGATTAGATCAGATCCAATGAGATCAGACCAGATCAGATCTAATCAGATCAGATCCAATCAAATCAGATTAGACCAGATCAGATCAAATCAGAACTACAAAAAATCAGATCAGATCAAAAAAAATAGGTTGAGAGGAATATTTTTTTTTGAAAACAGTTGAACGGAACATAGCCCTTTGAACCCTTATCGGACCCTTTTCAAGCCCTTTGAACCCCTTTGGAAGGCGAAGAATCTTCTCGAAGCGCCTCACACTCTCTCACTATAAACCCAGCAATCTCTCACCACACCAAAAGCCCTAATTCCAAACCCAACCCACTCTAAAGCATCCATTTTCAGAGCATCATCCATTTTCAGAGCATCATCCATCATCCGTTACCGCACAGAAGCAGGCTATCAAAATCTCTGAGCATAAATGGCTTCAGCAAATGCCATCTCCACTGCCTCCATCCTCGCTTCTCCTTCCAGCCAAGTATTGCCATCTTCCTCCATTTCCCTATTTCGCTCTCCGCATTTTGCGCTCATTCACTTCGTTTCCTGTTTCATTTTCTCGATTCTTGAGATTTACTCGTACTCTATCTGTTTCGTTTCTTGGTGCAGGGAGGTTTGAGGAACAGGAAGACCGGCCAATTCCAGGGAAGGAGGAATTTCAGTCCCAAGCCCTCCAAGGGCCGGTTTGCGGTGAGGGCTAATGCCAAGGAAATAGCATTTGACCAGCAATCCAGGTCTGCCCTTCAAGCTGGGATCGATAAGCTTGCCGATGCGGTTGGCCTCACTCTTGGACCAAGGGGTTAGTGCCAGTTGCCCTTTTTTTACTAAGGACAAAAATGTTGTAGTGTTATTCTCACTTGTTATCTTGCAGTATTGTATAAAATAATTGTGGAAACTGGGATAATTGTGGTTTCATAGGTTTAACTTGTGATATGTAAGAAATGGAAGGAAGATCATTGTGTATGCGAACAAGTTGTGGGTTAAATGTAAAGCTTTTCTAAATATTTATGATTTAAAAACTGTAAATGGTAAAGGTGCTGAGGAAAACATGATTTATAAAACATTTCTTTTGTTTTTTATTTCCTCTACAGGGAGGAATGTTGTGCTTGATGAATATGGAACTCCAAAAGTTGTCAATGATGGGGTTACAATTGCCCGAGCTATTGAGCTTGCTGATGCTATGGAAAATGCCGGTGCTGCACTCATTAGAGAGGTTGACACATTTCTTCCCTAGATTTAGGAAATGAAATGCAGAGTAGTATGTCTATGAAACTGTTTTTCAAGGAAACGGGATGTGTTTTTATGAATAATGTGTTTCACCCAGAATAATGGAAAATATTAAATTGTTGCATAAATATGACTTCCACTTTTCAAACATAAAAGAATAATATATAAAACACAAGAAGTTCTTTCAAGGAAATTATTTTCTGCTAAACATAAATTCAGAAAACATTTTGAGGAGCCATTTTTCAATATCTCCAAGATATTGTATCAATTTCATTTGTTCACTTGTATTGCTGGCATAACTTTTTATATGCTCTCATTTGTCTAATATCTGAATTCTATTTTTTAGGTTGCAAGCAAAACCAATGATTCTGCTGGTGATGGGACAACAACTGCATCTGTCATTGCTCGTGAAATGATCAAACTTGGTCTGTTGAGTGTTACATCTGGTGCAAACCCTGTATCCATAAAGAAGGGCATTGAGAAAACTGTAAATGGGTTGGTGGAAGAGCTTGAAAATAAAGCCCGACCAGTAAAGGGTCGAGATGATATTAAAGGTAATATAGTTGTTATGCTTCAATATCTGGTGATATTAGCGGGTTACACAATGTTTTAAACTGATATGTTTATCCTTCGTCTAGCCATTGCTTCAATCTCTGCTGGAAATGATGAGGTCATTGGCACCATGATTGCGGATGCTATTGATAAAGTTGGTCCGGATGGTGTATTGTCAATTGAGTCATCTTCCTCTTTTGAAACTACAGTCCATGTAGAAGAGGGAATGGAGGTTTGTTAATCAATGCTAATGCTCTGTCTGGGTAAAGTAGAAAATAGAAAAGTAAAAAGTGCAAGTATAATTAGAGTAGAAAAATAAGTGGAAATGGGTAGATCTATAAACTGTTTGAGACTTGGGTGAAAGAAAAGTTGATTTTTTCTTGTAAGTTGTAAGATCATAATGACATAACTCATAGTTACTTTTGTTAAAGATTGAGTTGCAAGGAAATATGCTTTCTTCCAAACAAGAATATTGTTTAAATCCTCTCACTTTCTTTCCAAAACAATGCTCGACAAACTAACAATGGAAGTGCATTTTATTAACTTTATCACTTGTCATTTTTGATTTTCCTATTAAGTAATTGCAATGGTTTCATTCATGCAGATTGATAGAGGATATGTATCCCCTCAGTTTGTCACTAACCCTGAGAAATTGATTGTTGAGTTTGAGAATGCCAGAGTTCTAGTCACTGATCAAAAAATTTCTGCCATCAAAGACATTATCCCATTGTTGGAGAAAACAACACAATTAAGAGCCCCACTTCTCATTATTGCTGAAGATGTGAGTGGGGAGGCCTTGGCTACTCTTGTTGTCAACAAGCTGAGAGGCATTCTGAATGTCGCTGCCATTAAAGCACCAGGTTTTGGTGAGAGGAGAAAGGCACTTCTTCAAGATATTGCCATTGTGACAGGTTCCTAGACTTTCCTTACTCATCTTTTTTCTATTCTCCATGGCTATTTTTGGAACACAGATTATGGCCGGGAAGGGAAGGTGGTCCCAACAAAATTGGGGGTTTATGGTTTGTTTCACCTTTTAAAACACAGAAAAACTCTATTTGATTAAAAGTTTGTAAAATTTTACATATATAAATTTATTAGTTTTACATTGTATAAATATTTACTTAGAATGAGTTTGGACAGGCGTGCCATTAATTCTTTTATCTGACATATTTTTGTCCTTCCAAATTTCGAATCTATTTTGTGCCACATCGTCAATCACTATCATTTTCTAAGTACCAAACAGGCCCTAGGGACTTGGTTGCCAGTAGTCAGGACCGAGTCAGCATTTTGCCCCATTTATTCCAATATACAACAGACCTAATAAAATCTTGTGAAAGTAAAATCTTACCTCTATTCCATAGCTAGAAAGGATGTTTCCCCATTTAATCCTAAATGAACAAGTAATTTCGTTTTAACATTTGGTTGCAGAATGCTATATACCTGCAGTTTGAGTTCTTCATAGCTTTTTCCTGTATTTCTGGACAAGTTTAATTATTTTTCTGCTGCTTAACACTTTTCAGGGGCGGAGTACCAAGCAAGTGATTTGGGACTGCTTGTAGAAAACACTCAGGTTGAAGCACTGGGCATTGCCCGAAAAGTGACCATAACTAAGGACTCAACAACCATCATTGCTGATGCTGCTTCTAAGGATGAAATTCAGTCACGGATTGCTCAGCTAAAAAATGAATTGCTTGAAACAGATTCAGTTTATGATTCGGAAAAGCTTGCTGAGAGAATTGCCAAATTGTCTGGAGGTGTTGCTGTAATAAAAGTTGGTGCAGCAACTGAGGCCGAGCTTGAGGACCGCAAGCTCCGCATTGAGGATGCTAAAAATGCAACTTTTGCAGCTATTGAGGAGGGAATTGTCCCTGGTGGTGGTGCTGCTCTGGTTCATCTATCATCTCACGTTCCTGCAATAAAGGACAAGTTTGAGGATGCTGAGGAGAAATTGGGTGCTGACATTGTGCAAAAGGTAATAAATATTTAAATAATGCCTACTTTGACACCAAGTTTGATACAAACCTTGACACTGCCTTCTCGGAGAAATGCACAAACATTGAGCAGTTGGTGCAGTTTCTGTGTCGGCTTTGAGAAGAGTGGTGTCAAGGTATCATTGCTCAATAAATATTTTGTTTTTTGTACTCTGTCTGCTCAAAAAGTCGTGATCTTAATTTTTTGGGGGTAAAAACATCCAGCTTCCTCAAATGTAGAGTTTAATGTGTTATTTGGCAATATTACCCAAAATCTCATTACCTTACGGAGTACAATTTAGTTAGACCAAAAGATACTTTTGAAAATTCTAAGGACTCCCCTACTTTTAATATGAATTGTACTAGCAGAAATGAAAATGGAACATGTTGCAATTTAACATGCCAAGGTACTAAACGAAATACTCCTACTGTATTATTTTAGTAAACGTACCAAGGTACTTAAGCCTCATCCCCTTGTATCATGAAGGCCTCTTTTGTTAACTTTTATTATTATTATTTTGCCCCCTCTGCATTTTATCCCATTTGCTTTGAGATTATGAGAGAAAATAATTACATTACATTGTAAAGTAGTGGGAGAGAATTCCTACCCCCTCCGTCCCAAAAAAGATTTCTAATTACTCTTCACATGTCAAACTAACTCTACTTTTTTTAAATACATTTTTATTGATCATTTGATAAAATTAAATTACCTTCTCACCACTTGTTTTGTAGAACATTTGTAGTTTTTTGATATATAATATTTATTTTTTAATTCTACACCAACTTTTACTAATTGATTTGAAAATAACTTCAATCGAACATCGTAAACCGAACGGGAGCCTTATTTTGGGACGGAGGGAGTATTATTTTAGGAAACATACAACGGTACCAAACCAAATTTTCGTATTGTAGGCACTATTGGCACCGGCATCTTTGATAGCCCAAAATGCTGGGATAGAGGGGGAGGTTGTTGTGGAAAAGCTGAAGGACAGCGAATGGGAGATGGGATACAACGCGATGACAGACAAGTACGAGAACCTAGTGGACGCAGGGGTCATTGACCCAGCCAAGGTGACCCGATGTGCTTTGCAGAATGCTGCTTCTGTGGCAGGTATGGTTCTGACCACACAAGCCATTGTCGTGGAGAAACGCAAGCCCAAGACACCCGTGCCCGGAGCTCCTCAGGGGCTTGCTGTCTAATGAAAGAAGAGATCATTGGCAGCCGGAGCATATGCCTGTAGTAGGAATTTTTCGGCCAAATGTACTATGATTGTAAGCTGGAGCGGAAAATTGAGTGAGTCGCAGAGAATTAAACGTCCGTTGAAACATGGATTTCATTGCTTCAAAGCTTTTTTTCTAGACTGCATTATAACTTATAAGGCAATAAAGTTTTTTTCATCTTATTTTATGCATTTGGACTATTTTGTCACTTGTTCAGCTAAGTAGGTTTTCACTTCAGTGTTCTGGAGTAACTTCTTTTGCTTAGAGACAGAACACTACTATGCTAAAAGTATCTGGGGTACACTAGAGATTTGGCTCATCTTTTCTATGAAAATTGAGTTGTTTTCTTTTAGATAACTATTGGTTCAGTTCTTGGGGCACTCTAGAGATTTGGCTCATCTTTTCTATGAAAATTTTGTTTAGTGGTGTGATTATCCCGCCCAAAGTTTCGTAAACAGCTGCTAAAAGTACCCCTTTACTCGGATTGGCAAGAAAATATTGGACTTTTTGCAGTCCCAAAAGACTAGGGGTAGACAATTGATTATAAAATTTTTGTTTATTTATGTATTTTTATTAATTATTTGATAAAATATTTATTTTTTATCATCTTTTTTATATTAAACTAGACTCGTACCCGTGCGTTGCACGGCCTAATTATAAACTAAATAATAATAGGAAAAATATTGATGAATAAAAATGATAAAATTAAATTAATATAATAATACATAATCAAATATTAAAGGGAAATATGCAATAATATGAATGACTCGTAACATAAGCATCTAAGTGGTGCGACTATTATACTGTCAATCTCTGCAACAACATTTCACATACTCTTTGGATGTCTTTGCGACATATTTCAAAAAAGAGGGAAGAGGGAAATTTTTGGGATGAAATTGTTATGAAATGTTTTGGGGAAATAAAGTGGTATACTCCCTCCGTCCCGAAATGTCTGCAACATTTGTTTTTTCGGTGTTGCAGAAACTTTTGTTTATTTCTACGTTTTCATTGGTTATTTGATAAAATAAAATATTCATGACACCTCTTATTTCGAAAAATTTTTCATTTAGTTTTTTGATATGTAAATTTTATTTTTTATTTCTATACCAATATGTAAATAAAATGAATTGAAAAAACTTGATATTTTACCTCGGGAATATAAGTGTGGCAAATATTTAGGGACGGAGGAAGTATATAATTGGATAACGAACCTATCTATTAAATGCTTTGATTTGGCAAATCTATTTATTTAATTTGATTCGACATAAAGCTTACATGAAACCACGCCCCAACTTAAATCATTGAATTTTGTGAATCTATATATTATATTTAGTTTGACATAAAGTATTCCTTGAGCAACATGCCAACTTTTATTTTCTTGAATATGTATAAAATATTATTACATTGCACGCGGATCCATAACAGATATCACTACCCATTATTCAAGCCCATTTTGTTGCGCCCAAAACCGAATTGGCCCCACACATTTAGGCGGGAACAATATTCACAAATCTATCCTAGTATTCTATATAGTAAAATAATACACCCTCCGTTTTCAAAAATACTTCTTCCTTCATTTTTTGCACTTCCAACAAAACACTTCCCTTTTCTATTAAAAAACCAATTTTACCCTTACTTTTTCATACCCTACCTATCACATCATACTTTTTCTCTAATAATCTATCTATCACATCTTACTTTTACCCATCACATCAGGGGCAAAATTGAAAATCAACTATAATTTAACACTTCCTTATTTTTGCTCCAAATCCAAATGGGAAGTGTTTTTCCAAACGGAGGAATATTTTAAAACAAAACAAAACTTTATTGATGAAGATCAAAGGTACATCGCAGGAGGTGGGCGACCCCAAAAAACAACCCAAAAATCAACTCACAAACAGAACAAACAAATCAGCAACAAAAAAATCAGAACGGAACAAAAAAAATCAGCAGCAAATCAACTCACAAACAGAACAAAAAATCAGCAACAAAAAAATCAGCAGCAACTCTAACCATTAAGCCAGAAAAATCAGCAGCAACNCTTATGAGTATATCATATATATTATATGAAGTCTAAATAATCTAAATATATGTGAATTTTTTAAAAGCTGTGAACAGATTTAATTTTCCTTGTTACTTCATATTTTCCAAGGACTAAGGTAAAACCAAGCATTAAAAACCATTTTCCTCTGTATTTATATTTCTTAACCATTATTTAAGTTCCACACATAGCTTAACCATTAAAACAACTTTCCTTAGTATTTACATCAAGACATTCTCTAACCCCTTCAAACCTTCCCGAGTCCCCCCTCCAAGACCTTCCGAAACCCTCAATCCAACTTGAACCCTAAGGTAGTTCATTAGAGCCTCAAGGTCATAAAATAAGACTACATGGGAGTTTCTAATAATGTCGGTTGCTCCAATAAACATGAGATGATGAATTAACCTCTTTTCTATAGGCACTTACTTTCCAACATGGTTAAGCAATTCCTTCTGTTTGGAAGCAAAAGCATCCCAGTTCTTATCCTCAACGATGATTTTTTGAAGCTCGTCCAAACCAACTTCAAGTTTGCTAAGCATTTCAGTTCCATGTTCAACATTTGACATCGCCAATGCTGAAATATTCGAACTCTTCCCTTGTTTGAGAACCTGGGATGACTGCATAGCATTCTACAAAGCTCATAACATAAAAAGTATGAAAATTACAATTCCAATTATTAGATGTATAATGAGATGGTTTCTTACTCTCTCAGCAGAACCAAGGGACTTGAGACCGGGCAGCTTGAGACTCAGTGATTTCTTCAATGGGCCTTTGAACTTCTCTTATAGCTTTGTTGTCAATAGGTAATGCATATCTCAACACGGCTCCCGGATCCTTAGTCGGAGGCCCAGGTATTGGAGTACTACGTCCAGATTCTCTAAAAATAATCACCAAACCAATCAAAACTTGAACAAATCGCTTTAGAAGCTATTTAGCCCAAATATATAGAATTTGCAACTTATGATTTAAATTCAACAAATATCATCTTGTATTCAATAACCAACCACAATTGCAATAGGAAATGTCAGCATAAAAACAATCATCTAAACAACGAAAGGCTGAACAGAATTGTTCAAAAGCTATTAGCCTACATACATACAAACATATATATATATATATATATATATATATACATACATACATACATACATACATACATACATACATACATACATACATACATACATACATACATACATACATACATACATACATATATATATATATATATATATATGTGTTAGAATCTAACCTCAATTCTAGTCCAAGCGTGATGCAAGCTGCGGTTGAAAGTTCCCCTCAAAATCTAGCCCAATAAAGCAGTGTGGGTGGATAAAAAATCACCTCCTATTTAGAAGCCAAAACAAAGTTCTCAGTAACCAACACCATTCCTCCTATATTTCCAATCTTAGTAATTTAACTTGAATCTCTAACTCACTTACCAAGCTTTGAATAAATAGTTCATAAAAATTTCACCCATGAAATATTTAGAGCCGTTGTATATAAAGTAAAAAATAAGAAAGAAGGTATAAATCCTAAACCATTTGCATAAAAAAGAACTGACCCACAAAATATCAATGTTTTAGCAAGCAAACACTTCCAGCACTCACATTATTGATACATGTAATATAGTGCTAAATAAAGCAGAATATGATGAATTATTTCACAATATGCAATGCAAAACACCAAGATATTTAGCTTTGATGGATGTATGTGTAGTGTCAACCCATATTATACTGGAACTCTCAAAGTTAGAAGTCATTTTCACCTTCCTATAATCTAGATCGTAAAAAACATATTCAAAAAAGTTTTAATGTCGTATTTTCCTATACATTAAAAAGGTACATAGAACCAAAAAGAATAGTAGTAAACATACACATAAACCTCAGGGATACTCCTGCCCTCTGGCTCAAGAAATTTTTGATGTGTTAGTTTATCTTGAAATCTTACAATTTACAACACGAAAGTAATTGTATCAGTTGGGGAGAACAAAATAGCCCAAGATATGAAATGGATATAAGATACCAACCTAAATGAGGAAAACATTGGAGAGTAAAATAAAACAAAAAACTAATCCCAGGTAAAACAAAACTTGCGAGTTTAATATTCATGGCAACAAACCACTCTCCTCTCCCTATGAGAATGGGCAAAAGGGGTTACTATGGCTAGGCAGGCATTGGGTCGAGTTTGGAACGACACACACCTTACACGTTCAAAAATAGACACAACAGTTTACGCATACCTAGATCTACGTTCATCATTTAAAATCTGAAAACTTATAAATAAAATATGACAATCTTAATGTACCTACAAAAGAAAATGAAAGAAGAGGAAAAAATGGTTAGGATGAATGTTTGTGTTGGGAAATGAATCTATATACATTTGTTCCAAACTGTAACACAGATTCAACAATCTGCCCTATGCTCTGGATCCTTCTTGGTGAAAGAACAACAGGCTACCAGTGGCTATGAAAACATTGCTTTGCAGTTGAAGTGTGAATTAGATGGTAAGATAAGTCAGTTCTTTAATAAACTTTAGGGAACATTCTGTTAGAATAAAGGCCCAACGCTAGAGGGGGGGTGAATAGCGTTTAAAAACAAAATCGCAGGAAATTAAAACGAGAGCGTTAAAGTAAAGAGCGTAAAGAAGGAGCACACCGGATTTTATCCTGGTTCACCACAACGTGTGGCTAATCCAGCCCCCCGAGAGACTCTCTCGAGCTACACTAACTCCGTTAGGCTTAAGGGTGCTTAACAAACCGATACAACTTGAGAACCCGAGTCACACGAGCCTCAACACCTTTGCTCGGAGATACCGCACTCCAAGACTTCTCACGAAGGAACAAGAAACTTCCTTCGAGTTTACAACAAGGGAACAAACTCCCTTAAAGTGTATGAAAACACTTAAACACTCAGGAATGAAACTCTCACAAAGAGTAGATA